GCCGACGAGCCATCGGTGAACATGATCCACATGTCCTCTGGCTCTGGCCCGGGGGTAGTAGTGGTCGTCTCCCTCGTTGTGCATTCGGTGACAAAGTCGGCTAAGGCTTGCCCTTTGATAGATGGCCTTGGCTTGATCTCAATTTGGAATTGGCTGAGGAAGATCGCCCATTTCACCATCCTTAAGGAGCTAATGGGGCTCCTCATGAGTGCGCCCAGGGGCTGTTGGGTCAGTACGTGGACGACATGGGCCTGGAAGTAGTGCCCCAGCTTTTTCACCGTATGGACGATGGCTAGCACCGTCTTCTCAATGGGGGAGTACCTAAGCTCGGCCTCCCTGAGTGTTTTGCTGATGTAGAATATGGCCTTCTGCACCCCTTCGTCCTCGCGGATGAGCACGGAGCTGATGGCCGACGTGCTCACCCCCAAGTATAAGAAGAAGGTTTCGCCGGCTTTGGGATTGGAGAGCACTGGTGGAGACGAAACATACCTCTTCAGTTCTTCAAATGCTTCCTGGCACTCCGTCGTCCACTTGAAGCTGTTTGCTTTGCGCATGAATTGGAAAAAAGGAAGTGACCTCTCGGCTGACTTGGAGAGAAAACGGCTCAGGGCCACGAGGCGCCCCGTTAGCCGCTGTACCTCCTTGACGTTGCGGGGCGTCTCCATATTGATGATGGCCTGTATCTTCTCCGGATTTATTTCAATGCCTCTCCGGCTGACCATATAGCCGAGGAACTTGCCGCCTTGGACGCCAAAGGCGCACTTCTTGGGGTTGAGACGGAGTTTGAACTCCTTCATGATCTCAAAAATTTCCCGGAGGTCGTCAGCATGTGTGGTGGCCCGCTTGCTTTTGACAATCATGTCATCGACATATGCCTCCATCGTCCGGCCGAGGACCGTCCTGAAGATCTTAGCCACCATTCTGGTGTAGGTGGCACCTGAGTTTTTGAGTCCGAAAGCCATGACGAGGTAGCAAAAAATTCCCTCCGGGGTCATGAAGGCCGTCTTCTCAGCGTCATCTTCATGCATGAAAATCTGGTGGTACCCTCTGAAGGCGTCAAGGAACGACATCAATTCGCATCCCGCCGTCTCGTCCACCAATTGATCAATGTTGTGGAGAGGGAACGAGTCCATGGGGCACGCCTTGTTCAGGTCAGTGTAATCAACACACATTCTGAATGTCGGCGGTTTTTGGGCGAGGATGACATTGGCTAGCCACGTCGGGTACTTCACCTCCTTGATGTGGTTGATTGAGAGGAGCATGGTGACCTCCCCCTTGACGAAGTCCTGCCTGTCGGCGGACAAGTAGCGTCGCTTCTGCTGATGCCGGATCGACGGTCAGCCGGTGGGTGATCACCTTCCGGCTGATGCCTGGCAAGTCGTCCAGGCCCCACGCGAAGATGATGGCGTATGACCGTAGGACGAGGAGGATGGTGTCTCACTGGTCCTGCGGGAGTTGCTTCCCGATTTTGAGGACCCGCTCCGGTCGAGAAGTATCCAGGGGGACCTCCTCAACCTCTTCGGCCGGTTCAGCATGCGGTCTCTCCTCGTCCTTGGCAACGGTCGCCGTGATGGTGTCTATTCTTTGTCCTTCCCTTTCGGCCGGCCTCGTTAGCTTGAGGTAGCATACCCTGGCTATCCTCTGATTTCCTCTGGCGTAGCCGATGCTGCCACTGGTGGGGAACTTCAAGCATAAGTGCTTCATGGAGATGATGGCCTCCAGGTCCTCCAGTGCTGGCCGCCCCCAAATCAGGTTGTGGGCGCACTGAAGGTTGACCACCATGAACTCCATGTCAATTTTGGCGCGGTGGGAGCGTCGCCGACCTCCACGGGGAGGACTATCGTGCCTTCGACGTCGATAGAGTCCCCGGTGAAACCGGACAACGGTGTCTTGATCGGCTTCAGCAGAGCTTTGTCAAGCTTCAGTTGCTTGAAGGTGTCCAGGTACATCACGTTGACGGAACTCCCCGTATCGATGTAAGTGTGGTGGATGATGGAATTACCGATCTCACACCGGATGACAAGGGCGTCCCTGTATGTGTGACTCCGTACCTGGAGGCAGATCCTTGTCGGTGAAGGTGATCGCCTCCGTTCGTTGCTTCTTCGGCTGGGGGGAACGTGGGACACCTCCCCAATGTAAGGGGATTGGGCCCATTTCTTCCTCTGGGTGACGGAGTCCCTCCCGGTGTATATATATATATATGTATATATATATATACATATATATATATATGTGTGTGTGTGTGTATATATATATATATATATATATATATATATATATACATATATGTATATATATACATACATATATATATACACATATATATATATATATGTGTATATGTATATGTCTGTATATATATGCATATGTATATGTATATATATATATATATATATATATATGCATATATAAACATACATACATACACATACATACACACATACATACATATAACCTCAAATATTAATTAAAGGTCAAAAGTGACATCATAGTATGTGTTTTTGTAGCACTGAAAATAATACTTTCTTGGTCCTACAAAAGTTTTGCAATTTTTTTTATTTAGCCATCTCAAAAAGTATTATGATTTTCATTTATAATAATAACTGTTTGATTAAAGTTACTATTTTTCTTCTGCACAAATATCAATTTCAAAATTTTTACTTTATTATTCAACGTGCAATTATATTTTGACCAAGTATTGTGGAATGAAGTGTATACTATAATTATACCATACAACATAATGCAGTTATGGTTAGATCTAATTTGACTTATTCTTTTTTACTGGACCTATTCGATCTAATTAAGAATAATATAATTTGATATTTTAATTGCGACTATTAACTTTTCAATATTATAAGTAAGAGTTAAAGTAAATCTATACTAAGAGGTTTATGCAATTCCATGCGTTAGATGGTTTTTAGGCTGAGAATAAAATATACGAGTGCATATAAACATAATTGTCAAAAAGTGCAAAAAGCCAAAAAGGTCCCTATCATTATTATTTTTGTTGTTAAAAGGTCCCTATCATTATTGTAAATTACGGGAGTATAAGAAGCTTGAATGAGAATATTTAATATATTAGTCATAAAATAGCATGAATAATAATAATAATAATGACTAATATATTACTAGTAATAAGTAATTAAAGTATATACTTTCAAAAAAAAGTAATTAAAGTATATAAATATAAATGTGACCTCCTTTCAAGACCTCATTAATACTACGTATGCAGTAATATCTCTTCACCAATGAAGTCACAATAAATCAATAATGATAATGGTGATGCGGATGATAATTTAGTTATAACAATTTTATCCATAAATTAAAGTATACGGAGTAGCAATATTTGAAAGAAAGGTACCTGGAAGCGGACCAAGCTTGACTATTTTTGCAAACCAACCTGGCACGTAGAGTTTGCCAGTAAGAGACTCCAAAGCTATGGGTCGATTCAATATATGTGTCTCAGTGACCCTTTTATTAATACCATCATTATTGCAGAGCGACTCTTGTATCTTAATTAGCTTCTATGATTAAAAAACTGACCCGGACCTGTCGGGTCGACTAGGAAATCGGACCAAAACCCGATTCGGTTAGTTAAAAACCCGAAATTTGCTAAAAACTGGAAAACCCCGGGAAACCCCGATTTTGGTTGTTTTTCAAAAATAAATTAACATTTTTAAAGAATTTTCAATATATAAATTCTTAAAAAAATGTTAATTATAAATAATATAATATTTATTTAAGAATGAAAGTAATTCCAAATTATATTATAAATGTACAATATAAATAACAAATATCAATATATATTTTAATAGGATCAAATTTGTATTTTGGAATATTATGAGAGTCTTAACTGCTTCATATATAATTAAGTATTATCGTTAGTTGATTATTTTGAATAATAACTATCTTTTATTATACTTTTATATATAATTATATGGAAAATTGCATATATGGTCCCTCAGTTATCCACGAAATTAAAATCTCAGACCTGTATTTCTGAGATTGTAATGTCACCCCTCAATTGTCCAAATTATTGTAAATGTGGTCCTTTTAAGGGGTGAAATATACAATGTGGGCGAAAGTACATTTCACCACTTAAAGGACTACATTTACAACAATTTGGACAATTGAGAGGTGACATTACAATCTCAGAAATACAGGTCTGAGATTTTAATTTCGTGGATAATTGAGGGACCATATATGCGATTTTCCCATAATTAATTATTTGTTTATTAATTTTATATGGTCATGTAATTGTTGAGTGGGTTTCCGGCATTGACCGAGTTGATCCACCGGGTCCGGGGTGACCCGTGACCTGATCATGTGGTCGGATCGCTTCCCGGTCTGATTTTAAAAAACATAGCTTAGCTTGCAATTCAAATAATTTCATATATGGTACAGTATTGTTTTATCTTGGAAAAATTGATTGTAACAATCCCAACTATTGGCGGTCCGCTTATAATTATCTCAACTATCGATTATCTCAGAATAATCCCAACTTTAGTGACCTTCCGCCAATAATGGTACGTCCGACATGACCGGTTATAAATAAATTTCTATAATTTCTAAAGTGGATGAGGAGAGATATAACAAGTAATCCCTATATATAAATAATTCAACTTTTAATTTTTACGCTTAATTTCTATTTAAAATTCACTTGTTATAGCAGGTCATATCTGGTCATTGACCATTATTGGCGGAAGGTCACTAAAGTTGAGATTATTCTGAGATAATCGATAGTTGGGATTATTATAAGCGGACCACCAATAGTTGAGATTATTACGATCAATTTTTCCTTTTATCTTTTGTATATAGTCATGACAATTAATATGTATCAACTAATGAAATTGTGGGAATGTCAAATGTAGTAAGTAATTTTCAGTACCAAATTAATTATAGGTAGTACGTACTATTCTTAATTATGAGACCAAGCAGCTTAAATGTAATAAAAAAGGGCTATAAAATCTCATGCTTTGATCTCATTAACATGATCTCAGCTTAAATATTTCTTCCATCTCTGAAACTTAATTATGGCTTATCATTTGTCAATATTATCGTCATTGTCAGCTCATATTATGCTTCTGCTACTTGCCATTTCATCATCATATCCATCCTCATATTCTATACCTTTCATCATTCTCCATGGTACGTAATTAGTCCAAATCCTTACTTTTTTTTTATCACTTCATATCTTCACTTAATTATATTATTCTGTCCAAGTCAATATATAACTTCTGCATTATGCTGGAAAGTAATTAATTAAATTCTGTAGGTCTCGGAATGCAATGCAATGATGAAGGGAGCATATTTTATCAGACGACACTTAGCAGGATGTCCGGAACCGAAGGATCATGCGTGTAAGACATATATCTAGCCTATCTCGAAAAATGCATGTCAAGTCATATTTTTTCTAATATATTTAATTCCATTATACGGGGTACATTCCCCCGTCTCAATTTGATGGTCCTGTTGCGGTTTACTGAGACTTGGCCGACGATAAAGCAAATGAATCTCTGTTCACACTCAAATTATTTGTAGCAATTAAAAGTTTTACAAAGTCGTAAAAACCAGAATCAAATTTGATAAAAGTTGATATATAAAGTGAGTGATTAAAAGTGATTTGTGTTGACCATCAAATGAGATGAAGGTAGTATATAATAATAAACTACTGTATCTTTTTTCTGGTATAACAAGATGATTATATATTAAGCACATTTTATAATATCAAGGATTATTGCTCAGATCAGCTACGTACGTATTGGTAGATGAATGATGGTACTATATGCGCTCTTAATACCATTTGCAGGGAAATTGGACTTGGTGCATATGATTCCTGGACCATGAACTTAGACCAGCAAGTAAGAATTATTCAGCTTAATTAATTCAATTAACTCGCAAAAAAGAAGAAGTCTTAAACTTTTTTTACGTGAAGCGCGTGATTAAATTATAATAATGTCTTTCATTTAATTTGTTGTTGCGCAGGTTGAAATTGCTTGTGCTAAGGTGTGATATGATGATGAATATATGCATCCTATCTTGAAGTTTTGCATGCATTATATTATTTAATTACTTTTCCCTTTTCAAAAATTGTACGTGCGGTGTTTGAAAATGATTCACAGATTAGAGACATGCCACAACTTCAACAAGGTTACAACCTAGTTGGTCTTTCTCAGGTATGTTTTTTTTAGTGTATAGTAATAGCTCTATCAATTACAAGTTTCACCTATTCATGTTTTATTTCTATTTGGGGAATTCACTCTTTATATAATAATATTAAAGTAGTGGAGAAAATTGGGGAACTGCAAATTTTGTCCCATAACCTATGCGCGCGCGCGCACACACACACACACATATATATATATATATATATATATATATATATATATATATATATATATATATATATATATATATATATATCCCCTTTTCTGGTGGTTTGTTTTCTTGGTGTAGTAGCTCTTTTAATTAGAACTTTCACCTATCATGGAATTTAAACACAGCATGGAGAATTGATTTAATAATAAAAATGTAGGGGATAAAATTTTAAATTAGTCTTGTAACCTATGCACGCAGTGGTGGGTCTATGAATTAAGTTTTGAGTGTTCATTTTTTTTCTATAATTAAAATTTGAAAAGACAATAAATAATTAAACTAAATTTATACATGTATACTACCATATTTTTCAAAATCCTAGGTATTCATATGAATACCTTTGAACTATGCATTTGAGTATATATACTTTAAAAGATTAAATATACTCCGTTCCCAAAAATACTTCTCACTTTCCTTTTTGGGTTGTTCCAAAAATACTTCCCACTTTCTCATTTTGGATAATTTGTGTGACTCACATTCATTTTACCTTTTTCTTACACAATCACAACCATACATTTCCACTTTATTCCACTTTCTTAATAAACGTGCCAAGTCAAACCGGGAAGAATTTTTAGGAACGGAGGGAGTAGTTTTTTATAATTACACAAATTCAACTATATTATTACAGTGAGAATTTCAACATGTACGTAATTAGTAGTTTCATATGATTGATTATATTTTAACATCCCTGGTTTTATTTTAAATGGAAAAGCAGTCATTCAATGTGGATATGCATCGTAATATATTGTTGTTGTTGATGTTGTTACAGGGAAATATAGTAGGTCGAGGCGTGATTGAGTTATGTGAGAATCTACCACCGGTAAGATCGATCATAAATCTCTTTAATTTCAAAATTCTTACAAACAACCATACATACTTCGTATATGAGAAAAACGGTTTCTACAAAAAATATAGTATGTTCATCGATGCGTGCATGTAAAGGACGTCCACGAGAAGCTCTATTGGCTATGTGCGGCCCAAAAAAATAAAGGCCCCAAAAAATTGTGTAATATGGAGTATTAGGTTTAAATCATTCTGTTAAGGAATGACAGGCTTAACATTCTGTAATTGATTTTAACAAAATTATATTATTAAGTCATTAGGTGGTTAAGTTTGTAATTGTTTCACTATTATACTTTATCAGTAAATAAACTTAGTTATTTGAGTTTGTAATTGTTAGTTAAGCACGATTAACTAACGATAGACTTCGCTTGATTGGTACCTCGCTTCGAGAACAGTCCATTAATGAGATGAAAGTGTGAGAATAATGGAATAGGATGCTCTCTAAGGAGTCCTGACAGATATATTTATATTAAAATGAGAGTTCTATGTAAAGTACAATACTGATCTAATAATAATTCTTTTACACCCCCTCAAGCTGTGCGGGAGAAACAACGCGCAGGTTGTCCTTCAAAAAATGAAAACGCTGAGTAGGGAGACTCTTAGTAAAAATATCTGCCAACTGTAAATGAGTAGGAACATGTTTAACAATCAGATCTCCATGAGCCACACGTTCACGAACAAAATGATAGTCTATCTGGATGTGTTTACTTCGGGCATGCTGAATAGGGTTTGCAGTCAGATAGGATGCAGAAACGTTATCACATGACAGATGTACGGCTTCCGTGACGGGGTACCCGAGTTCAAACAGAATCGAACGAATGTGAAGTGTATCCTGGATGGTGTAAGCAATGGCACGATACTCTGCCTCTGTAGATGACTTGGACACCGTAGGCTGCTTTTTAGACTTCCAAGAAACCAAATTAGGGTCCAAAAATATGGCAAAACCTGTGGTTGACCGAGAACTATCTGGACAACCGGCCCAATCAGCATCAGAATAAGCAAGAACACAAGTGGTCCGGTTAGTCTGCTGAAGCCATAATCCATGATCTCGTGTACCCTGTAAATACCTGAAAATTCTCTTGACTGCAAACAAATGAGTAGTACGAGGGGCATGCATGAATTGAGACACTAAGTGTACTGTATAAGTAATATCTGGCCGTGTCAAAGTTAAATATTGTAACGCACCGACCATGCTGCGATACTCAATAGAGTCCGAAAGTAACTCACCATCAGATAGAGACAGAGTGGTACGGGAAGCTAACGGTGTGCGAACAGGTTTAACTGTATGGAGATGAAATCGGGCTAGAAGATCGGAAACATACTTATTTTGAGAAAGAAAGAGACCTTTAGAGAGGCGAGTAGCCTCTATGTCCAAGAAATAATGAAGATTACCCAGATCCTTCATAGCAAAATGATTAGAAATAATAGAAATAAACTGGGTAATGGTAGATGCAGAATTGCCAGTAATAATAATATCATCTACATATAGTAATAAATAATAGTATTATTCTGGCGATAAATGAATAAGGAATTATCAGACTTACTGCAGACAAAATTATGTTGTAAGAGAAAGCTACTAAATCTATGAAACCAAGCCCGTGGTGCTTGTTTGAGTCCATAAATGGCCTTACGCAAGCGACATATATGATTAGGAAACTGAGGATGAGTGAAACCACGAGGCTGACGCATATACACCTCTTCGGTTAGATGACCATGTAAGAAGGCATTTTTAACATCAAGTTGTCTAATGACCCAACAAAAAGAAACAGCCAGAGTAAGGACGACACGAACTGTAGTAGGTTTAATGACAGGACTAAAGGTTTCAGAAAAGTCAATACCTGCCTGTTGATTAAATCCTTAAGCTACTAATCGAGCTTTATGACGTTCTACGGACCCATCGGAATGATATTTTGTTTTATAGATCCACTTACAACCATCTATATTCTTAGTATTGTCAAAGGGCACCAGTTTCCAAGTATTGTTGTTAATTAGCGCATTAAATTCATCAACCATCGCCTCCCACCATTTTAAGTGTTTATTTGCCTCAGTAAAACAAGTAGGATATGCAGAAGTAACAACTGTACTCAAAGTAAAAATCGTTTTTGGTTTAAAAATACCTGCTTTAGCCCGGGTTTGCATGGGATGATTATTTACTACAGTAGTGGGCACACCCGAGGTAGATGAGGGGGAAGGGGTTTCGGTTGGAGGGGAATAAGAGGATGTAAAAATGTCTGGTGTGATCCTATCGTCAGAACAAAGAGAGGATGAGGATGAAGGTTTCGAAGGAGTGGAACAAGGCGTCGGGTTGGGTAACTGAGAGGCAGACAGGCGAGGGTTCGAATGTAGTGGAGATGCAGGGGATGGCTGGTTGGGTGGTTCACGTCGGGATGAAGACAGTGCAGGCGGTGGAGAGGGAATATCGGTGAGATGCATGGGAAAAGGGGTGAATGAGTTTTGTGGAGGAGTCTGAGTTGAGTTCGTTTGGGTAACTGAAAGGGGTAAGTATCCTCATGGAACCTAACATGGCGACTGATATAGACACGACATGTGTTAGGATCAAAAAAACGATAGCCCTTATATCCTGATGCATAGCCAAGAAAAACACATTGAACAGAACGAGGTGACAGTTTGTTAGCCGACGTGGCCGAAAAATTTGGATAGCAGGCAGAGCCAAAAACGCGCATTAAAGAGTAGTCTGGAACACGTTGAAAAAGTTTTTGGTATGGAGAAAGACCCTGTAAGCTAGGGGAAGGTAATCTATTAATAATATATGCAGCGGTAAAAATTGCATCAACCCAGAACTGACTTGGAACAGAGGCTTCAAGCAGCATTGTTCGAGTGAGCTCAAGGAGATGACGATGCTTCCTTTCAGCAACCCCGTTTTGTTGGGGAGTATCAGGACAAGATTTTTGAAAATAAATACCATTAGCGGAGAAAACTTGCTGCATATTATTATTAACAAACTCACCACCCCCATCACTCTGAAAAATTTTAATTTTCTGATTAAAGAGATTTTCAACTAAAGCCTTAAAATTTTTAAAGTGGAGAAAAACCTCACTCTTGTGGCGCATGGGAAAAATCTAAGTATAACGGGAAAAATCATCAATAAAGCATACATAATACTTGAAGCCCAAATTTGAACAAATAGGAAATTGCCACACATCAGAATGAATAATTTCTACAGGAAAAGAGGAAATATGACTAGCATCCATAAAGGGTAATCGTTGTGATTTTCCTAAACGACAAGCAACACACTCATGAGTAAAAGGAGAATGACTACATAAAAATCTTTTTCGTTTAAGGAATTGTAAAATATTGTCACCACAGTGACCTAGTCTACGGTGCCACACAGGGCCAGAAGCTAAAACGGAAGCTAAAACTAATGATGGAGAAGACGGCAAAGTGATAGGATAAAGTGGTCCACTACTGGTAGCTCGCAGAAGAATCGCCCCCGAGGCTTTGTCCTTAATCAAAAAAGAATTTTTATCAAAAACAACAGTACAAGGTGAGAGGACGACCAGAAGAAGGTAAGGCAACATCACCAACATGACATATGGGAAGATGGGCACCATTAGCAACACTAACAGGATTATAGCCATTGTAGGGGGGATTTATTAATTAAATTACCTTCGGATGCAGTCATGTGAGCAGAAGCTCCCGAATTAGGATACCATAAAGCGGGATTAGTTTCCCCAGGAGTAGTCAACAAGGCAGGAGCAGAGGGTTGTGTGAAACGAGAGGAACAAGTGATAGCCGAGTGACCTGCAGAAAAACAAATTTGACACACAACAGGATTCGGAACAGACCCAAGAATACCCCCTTCTGATGGTAAGCCTGCAGAACTCATGTTAGTAGCACAAACAGGTAAGACATTAATATTATAAGTTGACATAGCAGAATTACGAAAAACAGTACCCGTAGATGTCACAACCCCTGTATGTGGAACCGGCTGAACACCCCCTCCCGTGTGATAAATGGACTGACCCTGCGGCGGATACCAGTACCCCTGCGAGCCGTACTGTGCTGGGTACTGTCCACGTCCACGCCCATTGCCACCGCGACCTCTGCTACGGCCGCGGCCTCTCCCGCGCTGCTGTTAGCCTGGTTGGCGTGACTGCTGTGGTCCACCATTGGAAGACGCTGGCTGTCGCGGTGCTCCCTGCTGTGCGTGCGGTTGTCCAGAAGGTGGAGTGAGCGCACCAAAGGCCTGCTGAATCGAGGAGTACTCCTGGGAACGTAAATAAAGGACCCGCTGCTCTTGTTCCAGAAGATGGTTGCGAAGGGTCTCAAAAGGGAAATTTTGGGGAAATAATGAAACGGTGGTGAATAAAGATTCATATTCAGGTCCTAAACCCATAATGGTAGTTTTCATCACTTCCCAAAGTGGAACCGGACAATTGATTGTAGCAAGATCATCCACTAAAATTTTAATTTCCCTTAAATAACTGTCTATTGACTGATCAGGTTTCTTTTTAAGTTGGGACAATAACCGCTTTAATTCCATAGATCTGGCTAAACTGGCAGACATGAATCTAGACTCTAACCGTTCCCAAATTTCACAGGAATGTTTTAAATCCCTAACATCAATCAAAACATCCCGCGAAAGAATAGAAAATAACCATGACCGGATGGTTTGATCAATGCGGAGCCAAGTAGAAAATTCGGGATTGGGAATTTGACGGTTAAGTATATCGATGGAATAAGCGGGTGGAACGTGAATAGAGCCTTCAACCATGCCAAGGAGACCCTGAGAAACAAGAAACGACTCAAATTGAGTTCTCCAAGTAGTGTTATCTTCAACCGCCAAAAGTTTGGTAGTCACAATGTTTGTGACATTAGTCGCCACATGTGAGATGGTTTGGGTGAGTTCTGCCAACGGAGAGCTATTGGAGTTACCGGCTATCGTCTGAACCGGAGGTAGTGTAGACGTCACCCCCGGTGAGCCAATGAAGGTCGGGCCAGCGAAGGAATGCGCCACGAAGGGAGATGGCTCAAGTGAAACTGGCTGCACAGGGACAGGGGCCGACCACGGAAACGATGGCGTTGGATGTTGAAATAGGGAATAGGGCATTGGTTGGCGGTTTGGAGATGGAAAAACCGGCTGCGACGCCGAGGGAGGCGGCGGCGCCGTGATGCCGATGGAGATTTCGGCGCTGACAGCATGGGACGAGTTGGAAGATGGTGATGATGTTGTCATGGGCTGCACGACAGAGGAGATGGGCTCAGAACTCATGACGACGTCGTACGGCTGGTGATGGGCACTAGTTGTTAGTGCCTAAGTATACATTTTTATTATTGTTTGTAATGTTTATTTACTAGTTTTGTGTAAGTTTATAGTTGCTAGTTTGCATTTGATTGTAATCGTATTTTTAGCATTTTATTGTTTGTTGTAAGTTGTAGTTAGTTGAGCTATAAGTTTAGGATAGGTTTGGAAGCAAGAAGGATGGAAAAACCTGAATTTTATTCAAAACCCGGTCGGGTATGGACTTTACCCGGCCGGGTATGAAGTGACAAAGGAAATTTCTACGAAATTAGCAAATACCCGGTCGGGTATTCCCTATACCCGGTTGGGTATGAAGTGATTTCGGGCAAACGAACGTGCAAAAGAACACAAGAACATGGGAAAAAGATTTGATTTGACAAATACCCGGTCGGGTATGTCAAATACCCGGCCGGGTATCCGGCTATAGGTCTTCAAAACACCTATAAATAACCCCATTTTCCTTCACATTTCATCATCCCTTCTTCCATACTCTTTAGCTCAGTTTAGAATAGCATTTCTTTATACTTTTCTAGCTATGTTTAGTCTCCAAATGAGGAGCTAAACTTCCATTCTTGGTTTTGCTCTTGAAGCTTGTTGATTATTAAAGTTGTGAGTTATTTTCTTAACTTCTTCTCTTGATTATTAATTCTTCCCTTAATCTCATTCTATATTAATATTGGAGGGTTGCTAAGTGACGATTAGTTAACGTTCCGACATTAATTACTACTAGAAACGATCAACGAACCGATGGTTAATCGTTGGTGGTTTCACAAGTAAGTAACTTCGGTTTATTAATGCACGGTCGTGGTTAATAGACTTAAGAGGGATCAATTTTGTTGGTTAAACCGAAACCGTTGTGTTAAGGTTATCAATCTCAATTGATTTCATCAAGGAGTTAAAAAGATTGAATGCTACTATTATATCGGTATAAGGCGTTGTTCTATATTTGATTAATAGTAAGGGTTATTAATGAACGGTCGTTGTTAATAACTACCCTCGATGAATTGGAGATACTCCTCGATTGAGTATTCGAGAGGGGATAAGTTATAGATATAACAAGGATCGACTAAAATATATCAACAAGTGGAAAGTAGCAAAGCCAAGTCCCTTTTATTCTTGAATTAAACACATATAGGTTGTTCATCTTAGTTTTTAATTAAATTAAATCACTCAAACCAAAACCCCCCTTTTTATTCATTAAGTTCATAAAAAGAGAATTATACCTTTCCCTGTGGATACGAACTCTACTACGCTATACTACGTATAAGTGTTAGTATTGAATTTATTTTGACGCACCGTGACAAAGTGCTCGTCAGCTAGTGTATGGAGGCAGCGGCACTAGGGTTTGCCGGCGGCGGCGCCAATAGGTAGAGAGAGAATCGAAAAAAAAAAATATTTACTGTGCTCTTGATATCATGTGAGAATAACGGAACAAGATGCTCTTTAAGGAGCCCTGACAGATATATTTATATTAAAATGAGAGTTCTATGTAAAGTACAATACTGATCTAATAATAATTCTATTAGAAAGGACATATTGGGGGATGATTGTATACATATATGAAGTATAATATGTGCTGATATATATGCATACATGTATATGTGAATATGACAAACTAAGAAGTAACCGATCTGGCTTGGGACGATGATGAAACAGGTGAAGAATTTCATATCAATAGGTGGCCCAAACGCAGGCGTTTCTTCGCTTCCCGCTTGCACGGTATACTATCCTCCGTATCACATTAGTTGCAACAATGAAATATATACACTATTCATGTACTCTACTTTGACTACATTTTATTTCTTAATGTATGTGAATTATTTTTTTTTGAAAAATATTGTTAAATTCGTCTCATTACTAAGTTTTATAATCTGGTTTTTATTTTATTTTTACTAATACGAAATTAAATATAATGACGGTCAAAGTTGTATGTTGACAAACGTGAAAAAAGGAATGTTGCAACTAAAAAGAGACGAGGAAGTATATGTTAGCATGTATTTATATACTCCTCTCCTATAAAACTAGTCATATTGACTTTTCATAATTAATGATGACCAAATTTGATCATTGATATATTTTTATTATGAAATTATTCCAAATATGAAACTTATATAAAAAGTTCTTTGTTAAAAGTATGAAAGATATATAAGTTTCAAACAAATATAATAACTAAAATCATTATCCAAAATTTATTATCATTGATAAAGAAGAGTCAAATTGATCAAGTGTTATGTGATAGAGGGAGTATATATAATTTTTTATTTATAATCTCGACACGCGCATAATCTTTTTTGATAGATGAATGTAACAAAAAACTAAGGCACCTTTTAATGATATATATAGACCTTTTAGTTCAACTGAGAAATTATATTTATATATATGTATTTTTATTATACATATTGGATTTGAGAATACGATTCAAGGTGAGAAATGAGAATGATTTTCGTGTGTTACATTTGAGAATTGTGCATGTGAAGCGGAAATGTGCATTGACATAAAAAGAAACTGCGGCACTTTGCAAATAAATTAAAAAATTTCAGCCAATTTGAACTGTCCATTTTCTTAACCACAGATGTGCATTTTATGAATTATAATGGGCATCGTTTTAAGTCATTCTCCTTTCTCACGGGAATAACCATTTTCATCTGAACAGGACCTTATATACTAGTATATGATTTTGATTACTATGTGTGTGTGTATATATATAATAATTCAATATGCAGAATGGGCCTTGGTGTGCTGGTATTGAGGCTATTTCTGGAATGGGAGTCTATTCTGACTATGTTCAAGTAACCCACAATTTTCATAACTTCTTTTATGCTGACTATCATTAATTCCATTGATTCAGTTTTATTTTTTGTGGGTTTATCCTCATTTCTTGAATTGCAGGCCACGTTGGCTCCAAGTGGTTATGTTAGGCTCGCAGATGTAAGCAAAACTTAGACTTTTTTCACATATGTCAAATGGTTGCGGTTTATAGCTAGTTTGCTGATAAGACAATAGGGAGTACATACATGATATTTCATCAATTCAAATATAGGGCTTTATGTAAAGTATATTAATCTCATTTTTTGTTAGCATCACTCTGTTAAAATTTAAGGGCTTGTAGTACTACGTACGTAGTATAATTTTTCAATGTGACTGTTCATTATCGACTAACTCAAGCATAAGCCCATTAATGAACATAAACTAAACTCATATAATGAGGAGCATATTTAACAAGCTTATTGAGCCATCCCAGAGCGTCATGAGGGAGCAATTTTTGTTAGCATCACTCTATGTTTTCTTTTGGACTGTTTTCGGTCCCAGACCGGACCAGACCAAACCAGATCAGATCAGACTAGACCAGACATTTACCAGACCAGTTCAGACCAAACCAGACCAGATCAGACTAGACCAGACTAGCAAATTTCAGTCCAAAAGAAAACATGTGTATAAAGCGTGTTTGAATCTGAATACCACTAATACTGAATTGAGTAGTTGAAATCGACAAATTCATTAGTAGTGTACTAATTTAGGAGCTTATGATTTTTACATTTCACAGGATATTTCCGGATACTTGAACGGATGCAAGTTTCTGCCAAGGATAAACAATGAGATCCCGGATGTGAACAATACCCTTCACAAGCAAAGATTCACGAGCCTTCAAAATCTTATCCTCATAATGGTTAGTTTGTCAAGAATTGAAACTGCAACTAAATAACCACTTGCTAGCTAGCTATATTCTTCGTATGGTTTACATTTCAATCTCTGATCTTCCCACTGTACTCTTTTTTATAGTGCGAAAGTGATGGCGTTGTCAAACCATCATTAAGTTCATGGTTTGGCTACTATCCCGACGGAGATTTCTCGCAAGTTCTGCCTCCAGAGCAGGTTATTTGCATGCAAACTATTCCAAATTAAAGGAGTACTATTTGAAAACTACGTACAGTATGTAATATATACGTACTGTATGATTTTGTTTTGCAGACTATTTTATACAAAGATGATTTATTCGGATTGAGAACATTGGATGAAGCAGGAAAGGTGAAGTTCATTAAGGTTCCTGGAACTCACTTGGCAATAACCATTCCAGAACTGCAACAATTTGTTGTTCCATACTTGCTTTAGTGATGATGATTAATTAATATTTCTAAGCTCATAGAAAGAATGGAAACTAAATAGCTTCCCATATTTTTGTTCTACCTAAAAGGAATCGCATTGTACTGATCGATTAATCATTGTGCTTTAATTTTACGAGTGATGAGATTTTTGGGGAACTAACTTGGATCACATGCATATTTAATTTGCTTGTTAATTAAAGTTTTATATACTTCGTGTTATGTATCTTATTCAATGCTCCTTGGAATTTAATTTCTCCCACACTCTATATATAATAATGGCTTCATTTAATTTGAATAGGCACATCCACAAAATGAAAGTTATGTGATTCAAAATTAATTAAAATATTGATAAAATCTGAACGAAAATATATTGAAAAAGTGTTTCTGAGCCCTTTTAATTGTAACTTGAGAATGCGTAATATATAATGTCGTTAATTAGCCATAATTCATGTTCTACATTTTATGATCCCGTCAAGTTTTGGTTGTTAACATAATGTAGTAATATACTCGGTGCTAACGATCGATATACTTCTTGAGCTTGTGCACATGAATCCGAATCCATTTATTCTACTCCGTACAACTTTCAAGAAATCAATTGAAGTATTCATTGTTGTGCACAACAATCAATTAGTCTAGGAATTAGGACTTTTCCAATTATCAGTATGTCATCGATCAAAGCAGGCTCGAAAGTACTCATGCATTCATGTTTCCAAATTATATACGTAGTATCAGAGGCGGCTTGAGCATTTCGGAGGTCCTAGACGAAAAATATTTACTATGTACAAATCACTTTTAAAATCAGATAAATTGAATAAAAACCACCTTATGAAAAAAAGCATACTCAAAGTTCACGATATAATGTTTGTAATATTTAAAAGGATAAATTTTTAAATGCAAACATATGCAAAACACAAGGCAAACTTATACTTGTAACACCCTATTGGCCTATTATTCATACCTTTTGAAGTGCAAAATCAGTAATAACTTCATTGTAATCAGGACTAGCTAAAACTTTAATATATCTAAACCACTTAATATATCTACCGAAATGGTTGATCATATAATCAAATCTCTTCTCAACTTATTTTTTCTTGAGTTTTTTCCACTTTTAGTCCTCCGACTATTATGTCACTGACACTTTTGGTACTCGACTTTGAGTTTTTCCACTTTAAGTCCTTCGACTATTGTGCGAAAGACACTTTTGGTACCCGTCTTTGAAAATTTCAACATTTAGGCCTTCGACTTTCATAAAAGTGTCACTTTTGATCCTTCAACTATTATAGGAGTCACATTTTTAGTCCTACACTTATTATCTCAAAATCATTGTGGAAGGACTAAAAGTGTCCAAGTGATAATACTCGGGGACAAAATGCGGAAATTTTAATAGGTTTTCCGGGCGTTGGGATCGGCTTTTGATAGGTTTTCCTAACTTTAAGATGTCATAAGTCTCAATTTTAAGCTCAAGTCATATTTACCAGGCGTTGGTTCGAGTTTTGGTATTTTTGGAGTCAAAATAAGGGAATTTGAGTCTGACACCGACGTTTGAGAAGCAATAGGGACGAGTTGAGAAGAATTTGAGAGTTGATTAGGAGAATTGGAGGCCAGTGAGGTGTTAAAGACAATGTTTTGAAGACAAAAGAGCTCTAAAATTAGGTACGAGATAAAAAGAAGACGAATAGGGCTTGAAAAGAGCGGTCAGGATGACGTTCCATCAATCGTTCAAGCATATATTTTTATAGCAACATCCAAAGAACACCATTCAAGTTTCATATTAAAGCCAACTTCAAGGTCTACAAATCATATGAAAACACCATTGCGAGAATATGATAGAAACAAGGTGAAAACAGACGATGAAGTCAGATAATCTCTGTTGAGATTTCAGAATGTGACCTTCCACCATTTTATTCATATATTTTGATTGGATGATTCAAATCCAGTTTTGCAAGTTGTGTTGGATAGAAGACTTCATTAACCATAACTTTGATGAAGGAAGGATAGTCATACGTGTCACGCCCCGGACCTAGCCGGACACGTCAACAACCCGCCGTACAGTACGAATAGTCAACCGTAGTCCAACTCATCCATACTATACAAGGCGTCATTAATATCATTCACACATAGTACATCCATAAACAAACATAATGTAAAAACATTCATTTAAAACAGCGGAAGCATTTAATAGAAGTGTCTTAGCCACACTTTGGCAAACATGGGCATGCAAGCCCCCAAATAGTTATTCAAAATAATATCCATGAGCACTATTATAATTGTTTTGAAAACAGGAAACAGAAGAAGCACGAACCACGTCTTCTCCCTTGAAAATCCCCGAAGCAACGGGCGCCGGTAGCAACCTTCAAGTTCTACCTGAAACTGTGAGGTGGCATCCCCCGTGAAGGGGAGGTCAGTACTTGGAAATATTTGACAAGTACAATAGCAACTATACTAAGTATAATCAACGTTTTAATTTCCAAGACCCTCAAAATAGGGTGATATCATATATAAATAATAATTTATATTTCCCACTTATTATCTTTATAATAAGTAAATTTATTTATTTGTCGGCACACGGCCCTTCTTATATATCCTTTTCATTTATCATTTGCACAACCCAACCCTTGGGTCCTATTATTTCTACGGGACTTGCTACCGCTGTCCGAGACCTCATGAGGCTCCCGGTTCGGACTCCAACATCCCGCCCCTGGACTCGTACCCATCATCCCGTAGGAAGGTAAGGCCATTCGGGGTCCTATCTTATGTGTTACCGCTACCGGAACCTAGTTAGGTCTCCGATTCGGATTCCACCCTAACCCGTGATCACGATGTAAGTCCATGCTATCCAACCCCGCTCTCTAGAGTCGGGAAGGGCCATGGTCCTTACTATTTCCATAATTCAACCGGCTATCCACAAGAATCACCGATCACACCCGTAGGCCAATCCTATACTTAGGATCAATTTATTATTTACTTTATCTTGGGTATCCCTTAAGGCCTACCCCTAGTATAACATAGAGTTCATACTTTCCTACCTTAAAGCATCTCTTAAGACTACTTAAGGCATAACATTTCACAATCCAACCTTAGGATCAATCTTAACAACATTTCATCTTAATGTCCAACTAGTATCTTGATACTAGTCAAATTAATATCAACAAACCAAGTTCTCAACTCATAGTCATATAGACAATTCCAACTGATTTTCCTTTGAAAATATCATTTATCTCAATATCCAAAATATCACTTTTAATCACTCATATATTCTAATATGAAGAAAAAGTATATTTCAACACATGTTTCATAATAAATTCCACTTTCAAGTCACCATACTCATAACACATGAACATACACAATTTATTCCTAAATTTGTATATCATGCTCCTTCTTCTCTAGACATTTAGTCTTTTCATCCCTTTTAGGCATTATTAAACATTAATAATCCATAAAAAACACGTTTAATTACCTTCGGTAATCTCATGAAATTAACTCACTAATTATAAGCAATATAGTCAGCCATCCTTACCTTATGAAGTGGTGAAATAGTTGCCTTTGCTAAGCCCCTCGATCAATCCCCGTTCTAGGCCGATTGAAGGTGTAAAACTGAACTGCTGGGCAAAAGCCGGACGGCTTTCACGAAAGCCGGGCGGCTTTCGTGTTCTGCAGAAACGGGCAGCTCCCTTAAAGTGGCGGTTTCCGGCGATTTCGACTCCTATCGATTCACCAACTCTTCTAAGTTAAATATCACCACTTTATATCAATATTCTACACTTTTAAACGTGTAGAACATCATGTTTAATCCACCATATGATTTCTTAAAAATCATACACCATAAAACTAGTTAAAAGAGGGTAGATGAGTTCTTACCTTCTTCTTAGCTAGTTTCCTCCTAGGATTTCTTCCTCCTAACTTCCTCCAACTATGGCCTGCTGAGATAGCTTCCTGGAGCCCTTCTCTCTCCCCTTGTGTTGGCTGAATGAGTGGAATGGGAAGGGGGGAGACACCTCTACTCAATCAAGCAAAATAATGCATGAGTAGGGTCCTAAAATGGCAATTTTGACTCATGCCATCCCCTCACTTAATGACTCCGCACACACACACTTTCCATGGTCTCCTCCAGCTCCTCCCTTGTCTGCTGGAGTCTAAAGGGACGTGGGGTGGCCCCCACTTAGGTGGGAGGTCATCCCGTTATGTCTCGGTGTGTACAATTGGTCCCGAAAGTTGTATTTCTCGGTCCGTTTTGATTTTATTTTATTTTATCGGGCCAAATAAAATATATCACGCGTTCCTAATAATTATGGGCCTTTAGAATAGATGTACATTTCCCAACATTAATTTAGGAGTCTCCGAAACTCATTTCGGGTTGTTATCCGTTAAATTACCAATACCGGTAATCGGGCCCCGTTTGACCAACCGGTCAACTCCATGCCTTTCTTATGGCCCAAATAAAATATCCACCACCATATACATATTATCTAGGCCAAGATGAATATAATATGTGGTTCGGGAATTATCGGGCGGTCCCCGTCCCGCTGTGGGCCCCACATGCAATTTACTATTCACGTAAAAGAAATAGTAAAAATTAACAATTACGCAAATTCATAAATCATCTTTCAAGGTTTATTACATCAACCATGGTGGTTCGATCCAAGAAGCTGAGATGTGGTACGGAATGAAGATTCTGAATGACAAGAATTCTGCAGAAGCTGTCAGAAACTACTTGGACTCCAAACTTGCACCTCATTGGGCTGATTATCAGAATCCGAGGGATTTAGCCTCAATCAGAGCGAAGGTAAATGCTGAACTAGAGAGAATTGACAGAGCAGGACCACAGGTAGATGAAGAAGATCTCTAACTCTCTTTATCTAACTCTGTAATGCTTTACTTTCTCTAACTGTTTAATAAGATACCAACTCTGCCTCTCTGTTTGCTTGGCTCTTTTCAAATATCTGTTCTTATGTACTTTCTTGTGTATATTCTGTTATCGTACTTATTCTTTTGCCATCTGATTGTATCGTACTCTTACTATTTTCCTATGCCAAGTTGCCCACCAAGATTTTAATGAAAAGTTTTTTAACTTTATTTTTTTTATGGTGAAAGGCACTTCTCTGGAAATAGTTAAAGGGTTTTGGCATCATCAAAAAGGGGGAAATTGTAAGGAATAAATGTAT